TACATTCAAATCACCTTATTACTCTCAATTGACAATTTGTCCATAGATCGCTGGCTAGTGCAATATAATCAGTTTTCTGTACAAGCGAATATATTCGTGCAACATGTTTTATAAGCCTTAGACTTTCAACAAATGCATTAATAATTAAAAAACAAAGATAAAGATAAAAAGAAAAAATCCGATGTTGTTGAGAAAACATACTCACGCCTCCACACATGCCAGTTTGGCCTGCAGTCTTTCTGCTGCCTTTTTCCCATGGTTCTAAGTGAGAGACCTTATAATAGATCTCATCAATCACCTCATGATAGGTCTTGAGTTCATACAGATTCACCTTAAAATAATGCGACGACTGTATGTTGGTGAGAATCAAAGGATTCAAATTCATAGTCCTCTCATTGCCCCATAGTGGCAATACATTTGACTTTTTACCCTCCTTTAGAGCCAGCCTACGCTCTTCATCGCAGCCACTGGAGTTATTCCATGGAGATCCTGAAAGAAGAAAGACTTGGCATATTTCAGTGTAATACAATAATCGATATTCATATTGATAGAATATTAAAATGTGTATGCGTACAGAAAATCAATAACTACAAATATCAAAAGATGGTGAAAAAAATGGTTCTACAGGACAAAAAATTTTAGAAAACTAATATTGATATTTTTTTGCATTTCTCATTTCATTCTATGTGTACCTTTCCGAGCAGATCAAAAAAGTTTGCAAATGAAAGTAAGTAAATCAAACATTACATCTATTGGTATTACTTGCACTTTTTACACTCACTTAGCAACCTCTCTCTTTTCAACAATCGAATATATATATTTATTTTGTTCTAAATGTAAAAAATTTCAGGGATTTCGAGCAACGTGAACAAATCTATTATTAACAAATAATTAAGGTTTGGGATTAATCTCGGAATGTGATAAAAATCAATTTGATAAACAAGTCAAGGTTATGTTATCCGAGGAATAAGAAAACAGCCATCACGAATGACAGAAAACTTGAGAAATTATATTAAAGTGTGTTTTTATAATTCAGAAAGCGTATTTACTCACCATCCGCACCTTCAGTTTCCTGCATTTGCATCTTTGAATAATTTATCAAGGAGATTCGCGTGGAGTCTCCACATCGGTCGCGTCAAGGACAAACAAACGAACTCGCTCACGGTTCAGCTGCAAATTAATTCGAATCGGATGAACTCATGCAGGAGATTTTCAATGCGATAATTTCTCAGAATATCGTAGAGACCTATGCTGTAACTCTCATCAGTCTTGTCCACGAAGTGCGATGAAACGTGCCAAAAAAAAACGAGAGAAATTGTACTGTAGCACCCTATTACGTATGATGGACAAACATACACATCCGGTTTTGTTGCGCACGCACAATACATATGATGGAGGTGGAAATGGTGAAATTAGAGAAAAACCTGAGAGGACATGAAGGCCTTTTTCCTTCCCCCTTTCCTACTGCCCTCTAAAGAAGTGAATGTAAACTGCATAACCATTTTCTTTATGGTAAAAATGAATATTTCTCTATAGTTTACATTCACTTTTTCAGAGGACGGTAGGCATTTTGTGGTTATTAGAAAAAAGACCTTATGTCCTCTTTTAGGTTTCTCTCTGATGGTTACGGACTAAATTCGGATCTATATAATAGGTGTTTTAAGTTTTAAGGAGTAAGAAATCGACCAACTAGTCGAATGCGAGGAGAATAAGTGATTATGATTCGTCCATTCCTTGCGGCTTAAGGCTTAAAAATCTATTGCAGATCTCCGGGGAAACGCACATTACGATCAGTAAAATACAAGCTGCGATCCACTTGATGCTTCTTATGTTCTGGGGATTGATTCTAGAGATTAAGTCTGTATCTTGAAACGAGGTGAAAATTACAAAAGTGAGCAAATTTACTAAGTGATCAATGAAATTATCAGTATTCTAATAAATTCGTTCACCTTTATAATTTTCATCTCATTTCAAAATACAGGAGATCGATTGAAAATTATAAAAGTGAACGAATTTACTAGAATACTGATAATTTCATTGGTCAACGCCTAGTAAATTTGTTCATTTTGTGATTTTTACATCGTTTCAAGATCGTACAAAATTGATCTGAACGCTATGCACCAAACTCTACGCTCTGTTGCAGTTGGTCCACTAATTACGAATGCTGCAATCGCTATGTTAGTGGACCGATTGTAGCATTTGTAGCGCTATATGAATTTAAATTTTTGTTGCATGAGATCGATGCCAATCTTAGCCTATACAAGGGAAAATAAAAATCCGATTCTTATATTGAATGAGATTTTACTCACGATAAATATCAAACGCGGATTAGTGTAAATAAGTGTAAATAAGAAAAAAATATATTTCTCATATTTTGATTTAATTAATCGGTGAGAGTAACCATAAAGAAAATTTCATTGTGATGAATTAAATTCAGTGTCAATTTTAATAAATATTTTGAATATATTTAGTGACATATCAATTCGTATATATAATGATGAAGAAGAAATTTTATCTTTATTTTTCACGCTTATACTTTCACGCCAAATGCTTAGAATGCACCTCCCGTGATGAGGCAGTTGGGGCGAAAGTGGGGGCGAAAGTGATGACGTATGAATGACGTAGTGAGAACGCTCACTACTGTGAGCGTTCGAGATTCCGCACAATAAAAGGAACATAGAACAGAGAATACGAATTTCAGAAACTGTGTATTCATACACACAATACATGATTTCTGATAAGTTAGAATTATTATTCTCTGTTCTCTGTTTCATTTATTGTGCGGAGCTCCTTCTACAGCGTCAAATGAATCAGCTAATCCATGCTACAAATGCTTTGTAGCGTTTGAAGCACTAAATGAATCGCAGTAAAATGGCGCTTCTGTTTTGCACACTCGAAACGCTTTGAAAAGTTTGCCGCGCGGCAAAATGCAACGCAATAATCAATGAACATGTTAAAATTTATAAACTTATTGGCCAGTGCAAATCAAGAATCGTAAATGCTGATAAATGCTTTTGAACTATATTTAGATCTGTTCGATTTGCTTATAATTTTTATGCTTTTAGGCTGCGTTCCACTTAATACTCACAAAGCCGCGAGCATTAAGTTGTCGTTTATCCTTGTTTAATATTTGATAAATAACAAGGATAAAATGATTCCACAAGCGTTGCGAGCACGGAACACACTTTAGCATCTTTGCTTTTTCTCTTTTCAGCGCTAAATATATATATATACATATATATAATATATATATAAAA